TTGCCTTGCCAGAAAATAAGTTACCTCGAGATGGTTCACCGGGAGAGAGATCTCAAAATGATTGTTCTCATATTCTAAATCCTCGTTCTGATCCTGAGGTTCCTGATGATGGAAATCTTGTCTCAGCCTATGAACCAAGTGCTACATTCAAAAAATTCTCAGTGGAGGAGTTTGAAGAATTGAAGTTACAGAAAGAGAAGGCAGCAATGGATCTGTCAAGATGCACTGAAAGTCTTGAAATGACGAAGTCTCAATTACTGGAAACTGAGCAACTTCTGGCGGAAGCTAAATCACAATTGGCTTCTACGGAAAAATCAAATAGCTTGGCTGAGACACAGCTGAAGTGTATGGCAGAGTCATACAGGTCACTTGAAACACGTGCCCATGAGTTAGAAACTGAGATAATTCATTTGCGAGCTAAGACTGAAACTCTGGAGAATGAACTTCAAGATGAAAAGCGCGGTCATGAAGATGCTTTGGCCAAGTGTAAGGAGCTAGAAGAGCAATTACCAAGGTTGGAAGCCCGTCCATTATGATATTGGTTATCATTATTCTGAGTTATTTTGTGTTCTAACTGCAGGAATATGTGCCCGGTGTTGATGGCAGTTTTAGTTGGTGTTGGGCTTCATATCTTTAATTTGATTGACAGGGTTAATTGTGCACACCTTTTTCCTTGTATCATAACCTGTAACAATTGTCATTACTAATGTTTTGTCTTCTTTTTCTGTCAGGAATGAGAGTTCAGCAGCTGATAGTGACCAAAAGAGCAAGCAGGTAACATTGTAGTTCCCTTGTGAAAATGGATTGCGATGTTGGATGTAGCATCTAATATAGCCATATATGAAAGAAAATATGAAAACGGGTGACATTTAATATCCAGTGATAGTTAAAAATACGATAATATGCATTTCATTCTCAATCCAGGTGTCCTGAATGAATGTTAGACGAGTCGAAAAATCTGATTGAAATCTTTTGTTCACTGCAGGAGAGGGATTTGGCGGCTGCTGCTGAAAAGCTAGCTGAGTGTCAGGAAACCATTTATCTTCTTGGCAAGCAGTTGAAAGCTTTGCATCCTCAAACAGAGCAAAATGGATCTCCATACAATGAAAGAAATGCAAAGGTCGAAGGCTTCCCGGAGTATGAACCTACAACTAGCAGCCCAAATTTGCAAGAATTAGGTCAGGTCGAGTTGGAGAATGCTACTTCTGCATATTTGCAGAAGTTGGGCGGGGGATCGCCTCTGCACTTCTCCAGCACCGTCTACAATCCATCGGACAATGAAGCAAGCCGTCCAGATAGATCGCCGGTGAGGCCTCGAAAACATAGGCCAACGATGTCAACCTCCTCATCTGCCTCCTCCACTCCTACACCAGAGAAGCACGCACGAGGCTTTAGTAGATTCTTTTCATCGAAGGGAAGGAACGGTCACTAAGCATGCAGCTCGCAGGCTGTGATAATTCAGATTTAAGACCATAAGGTGACCACAGATTCACAATTGATAAGTCTCGTCGGCCCTTTTCGAGGACTTTTGGATTGTTTGTGTATTAGGGAAAGAACGTCGTTCATGTCAGGCGATTCTTGTATCTAGTGATTGTATATGTTAACCATATGCTGTTTTCTCTTCGTTTCCGCTGGTATTTTTATTGTCTGTAAATTGATTGACATTGGCGAGTGACGACATAGTCTCAAGTATGTATCAAAGGCAATGTTGTTAGAACAGAATCGGGCGTTGATGTGCTGATCAGATTCACTAAACCGTGGTTGTACCAGTTTTAATTGCAATAATGTAATTCGAAAAATATGTATAGAAATAAAAATATTTTAGACAATATGTATTCATATTTTTATCAAACATGTCAGATTTATGAGATATGAACGGTTCAGATCTGATGAGCTTACGGTGCCCGAAACTGGTTCCCAGATTTATAAGGAAAAATCCAATTAAATCCAACCAAAATATTTAAACTCAAATCGAGGTGTATACTTTTAATAAATTTCTAATCAGAATATGAGACCTATTAGGGATTACAGAATGTTAACTGTTAAGTGATCATAATGCCTTTCTTTAGATAAAAATAAAAATTGATTATTTTATCTCTCTGAAGGGATTCACCATCTCTTATTATTAATATTTAGACAAAAAAATGTAAATAATTTTCAATGTTTGAAATTTTGTATGTATAACTAAAACCTTCAAAATATTTTCATAAAACATTTCAAATTATAATATAAGTAGTCTTTAAATAAATATTTTTTTTCTTTTTTAAGTTTTAAATATTTATTTTAAGATTTTAAAATATTTTAATTATAATAAATATTTAGTATTAAGTTGTAATAATTTATGTTTTCAGTTGGATCCAACATTACTTAAATAAATAAAATTAACTGAAATTATAAAAACTGAAAATAAAAAATATTTATTTAAATTTTACTTATATTTGTAATTTAACATGTTTTATTAAAATATTTTTAATAGTGTAAGTTGTAATTTCAAACGTTGTAAAATCAATTATATATTTTTTGGTCTAGAAAAATTTCTAAGAGATGAGGGTCACTTGAGAGAGGTCCAATAATTAATTTTCCTTTTGAATTAAATAAGGACATTCTGATTATTTAACAATATTCAGAAATTTCTAATTAAGTCTCATGGTCTAATTAAAAATTTGTTAAAAGTGTAAGTTTAAATCCAAATTTAGGTATTTTGGCCGAATTTGATTGGTATTCTCCTAATTTATAATAACGTTAACATTATAATAAATAATAAAACCATCTATTGCCTATTACAGGTCACCCGAATTAAGTATGTAACCTTAATTTGTCTAATCATCAAACCGATTGCACTTTGAATTGAATGGCAATAATTAGAATAAAGCATGGTGCGACCTGCGGTTGCAATTCGCGACCATATTTCAAAAGAAAAAAGAAAAAAGGATCAGATGAAATTAATATATATAAAAGATACGTCACGATTGTATGATTTCCAACATCAACGCAACAATTAGCTAGGCTATTTGCACATCTTATGGTGGCCTATACACACACACATATAATCTTCAAATGCATATGCATGTTAGTTTTCTGTATCTATAATCATAGTTTGACTACTTTTGTCCCATTCATTAAAAGCACTAAAGCAGATCGGGAAGGTTTAAGCCAAAACTTATGAGTACAGTTTTGGTACACTCTAAACTCATCATATCTGGATTGTTCATATTTTATTTGGATGGTTTGAATTTGATTTTTTTATTTATTCAAAATGATTATTTTAATGTATATAATTTAAAATAGAAATAATCTCTTAACTATCATTTTTTCAAAAAATAATTTTTATTTAAAAATAAATAATTAAAAAATTTAAATTAACCGTTCAAATAAGATATAAATGGTTCAAATATGATAAGTTTAATATGCTTATCAAGTTGATGAGTGCTGAAATTGGTTTCGGTCAAGACTAGCACTCCTTGGAAATCAAGCATTGTTGTATAATTAATTAAGGCTAGCGTCAAATATTTATTTGACCCTTGGACAGTAATTGTAAGCCATTCAAAGGATTGGCCGCGCTCACTTGGTTCAGTGTATTAAACCTAAACGGTGTAATTTGTTTGGCTAGCCTCGGATTTTGTGATGCCAATGTTGTCGTCTTCTCCTGATTACCTCCTAAACCTAATTCTTAAAAGACGTTACCGAGTAGTGAGTAGTCCCGAATCCATAGTGTGTTTGGCAGGATCTTGCTTATTTCTTTCATTCTTTTGTTTGTTAGAATAGGTTTTAGTAGAGTTTTTTCTGTTTGTATGGTTGAACTTTCTCTTATCTTTCTCTTAGGTCTTATTTACAACTCTTTCATTTTTCACATGCCACTTCTGGTCTTAATTATAAGACCTAATTTTAGTCTACAAACTAGGTTTTACAGTTAAGACCGGAGGTAGTATTATCATTTTGATCTTTTTTCAAAATTTTTAAAAAAAACCAACAAGGATTGGGTTTAACAGAAGGGGCTAATCCCTCACAATGTAGCAAACCATCAACCAATGTTTGAATTTCCACTAGGAGAGGTACACACATTTAGTATTCAATAGTACCTCAAATAGAATTGTCTCCAACAACGTACCTATACTTTAGGAATTTTTTTTTTTTAAATGAACATTACTGAGTAGTCACTTTTTATGGTGAGAAGTCAAATAACGCAGAAGTACACGAAACCTATAATGTCATGTTCACTGGATCATATATTCATATATAGGGTCACGGACACGGTCAGCACAATTTTTCTTAAAAAAAATCAATATTCAACATCACACACACATATAATTAGCTAGATGCCGGAACTACAACTACTCGTTCTTTCCTCTTGTTTTTTTTTTCCCCTGTGGGTCTCAAGTCGGCGGGCCATCTCATAAGCCAGTACAATTTTGTTGGAGTCGAACTGATCGTAGCTACCGAGTGGAATAATACAGGTGACTTTTCACACAAACCCACCATTCAGGGAGACCCAGAAAACAAAAGCGAGCTTCAATGTCAGGTATTATTGAGTGGTTCTCCGTTGAATTTTTTCCAAGGATAGGAGCCGAAGTATGATAAGAAGTCAAAACTTAAAACTACGCACTAACATGGCAGTGGTCTTCAAATCTTAACCATCTGCCCTGCATGCAGTGTGAGGGTGACACGCAAGTGAGAAAAATATAACAACAGTGAACCCTATACTTATTTCGCCTACATTCAGTAACACTACAGAATTACAGAGACATAGAAGAATTGTGCAGAATCTTGAAAATACAAAGCAACAAACTGCGAAAGGAAAAAGAAAAGAAATTGAAGACGTCGCTGCCAAGTTGAATTTCGCTGCTCCTGTCCAGACATTCCGTTTTCATGTTCCCGTTGGGAGTGATTTCATCACAGATCTAACAACGATAACGGTGAAACATGCAGTGCCCCAAAAAGACAACCTCGGCATTGAATATTCGAAAACAAACAAAACCCTCGAAAGTTGAAACAACTGATTTCTCAAAAGTTGATTCAGTTGTTTGTGTGATGCAATATCGTATATGACAGAACGACTTTAATTTAATAATTTATTTCCCAGAAAACAAAGGACTACTATTAGTTCTCCATAGGGTGCATTGGCATTACACTAGCCAGCTTCTGCCTCCACCACTGCATGAAAATTGGTAAGCTAATTTCTAGATCTACAGACAGTCTAATCCCATAACAAAATTTCATGGGGTTAATCTGTTGAGGTGAGAGTTGCTACTTTAAAAGAACAACCTCTTACAATATAAAACAAAAGAAGCAGAGAAAATAAAGTGAGAGAGCAGTGAGGCAGCTCCATGTATAGCCCGTGTCTCCTTAGTTTGATGTACATTTTCATCTAAGAGTGGAGGTGAGGGACTCAAAGGCGTCTTCCTCACAAGGGATTGTGAGTCCCCTGTCGTGATCAAACCCGAACTCTTCTTCGGCTTGAAGGAGAAGGCTTTGGAACTCAGGGCGGCTTAGAAATGAAATTGGGACAACGTATCTACTTCTGTTTTCTCCCACATATATAACAAAGTGACCCTTGGGCACGTCCATAGGCAAGCCTTCTTCAACATACCCTCGTTTCCTCCCCAAGCTCGAGCATCTCTTTAGAATTTGCTTCAGAACTGCGGTCTGAGGGAGTCTGCTGGGCTTCTTCAGAGCCATTATGGATTCAGAATGCTGATCTGATGTGTCTGGTGAATCTGGAGAGAGCTCCGTAAAATTGCAGAGATGGTGGGAGAGAACGAGAGGATCTGTAGGTTTTTATGGTGAGATTCAGAGGAGGGAAGGAAAGAGAAGAACAGAGTTACCAGTTATGTGAAGCTGGGGTGCCGCAAAGGACAAGTATGGGGTTTTCCAAGACAATGTCGAGATGGGTGTTTTGGGGTTTAGCGTGAGCTGAAGGACATGATGTTGCCCTTCTAGAGGACAGCCCGGTCCCTTCTTTAGTCTTCAAATGATATTTTTGTCAAAGGGTACGGCACTAAAATGTAACATCCCTGCAATTTCCAATGTTGCCTTTTACCGGTTCTCTCCCAAGGCATTTTTACGCAGTAAAGATGAAACCAAATGTTGAAACTTGAAACCGTCCCCAACCCTTTTCCTCACAAAGCATTGCAATTGTAATATTCAGCTTCAGCCCCATCACCTTTAACTAATATACTATATGTAAAAAGGACGTTGTCCTTGCCCCCTTCTTTTTAATGGCACCAGTCCGCATCGTTCCGAGTACCGAAATTACAGAATTGCCCCTGGGGCGGAGTTTTCTATTTTCCTGTTTCGGCTGAGGTTCCTTCCCCCGGGTCGTACGGGGACGGTGACTTCTCATGGCCCTGGTTCCAATTGCTATTGGCGATGACAGAACGTCCGAATTTGATGGTTTCAACTTGATACAGACCTGGAGGTCAAAAAAAAAAAAAAAAAACTCGACGCAAACCTTCGCAACTACATAAATAAATCCTTATTAGTCCTGTCATTTTAAGCCCAAAAAGAAGAAAATTCGAGAAACCTAATCCCCATGGCCAATCAAGTTGCACGAGATCGAGAGTGGTGGTCATATGACAAATTCACATGCATTCATGTCTTGCAAACAGCAGCGGTCTACGTTATAGTACTGTCCTTCCGTCCCCTTCTTTTCTAGCTAGCTTCCTCTGAGACATGGGAGGCCTACATATGTGACTGCTCCGTTGCAGTAATAACCTACCTCTGTGCACATTTATAGTCTTAAAGCAATTAACATGGTCATCTATCTTTTAAACTTTTGCCACAATTGAATTGTTTGCAGAGAGCGGCCTGTGATCGCCGCATTGCCATATTGTTACTTCACACAGATCGCATTGATTGCGATGTTCCCCTTTATGTATGTGACTTCATTTCTCTCGCCCAGGACCAAGAGGGGCTAGCGACGCAAATTGAAATGCAGTTAAAGCCACAACCAGAAGTAGAATTAGAATATGCAACCATTCAGAAGGGTATGGGCTTTAAATCCAAAAGAACGTCTGCCGTTATTGTTAAGAGAAGATATTTGATGGACAAATATATGAATATATTATGAGGGTTTTAGTAAATAGGGGAAGAGAAACATGAAAATTGAGACCAGTTGAGAATGGAAGCGCCACATGCTCATTTTGTTGCCTCTGTATAGACACGGGGGATGGATTGTAGAGTGGAGGATAACGTGGTCCTGTACGTCCCCTTTCATAATCACACACGCCACTAGCCAGCAATGCAGCTACAGAAACACAAGTTCGCTGTCACAATTAATTGGTTCTGACCATTAAATGATGACAACCAAACCATTATCAACTGATGACCCAAATGTCTACTGAGAAGGAAAGACCTACGTACAAACGCACTTTGCCATCCCATTCCCCATGTTCCAAGGCCAACAAAGTGCCACCGACTAATACGACACCGTACTCTTACCGCTCCTTCGCCTTCGCCTTTATTATTTGAATTGAACTGAACATAATAGGATCTATTTTGTACTGGAGAAAAAATCCCCATGCAAACGCATTACTTGACGAATGCCTTGTGAGTGTCTCAAGTAAATACGTCAGGATTCGTCTATGGCTGACCAGCATTAATTGCATGTTTTATGTCATCCTATTCCTATGCCGGCTGCATCACATGTATACCTTTCACTCCAAAAATACATATATAGTGTCCAGAGTGGCTGTGAAAATGGTGTGGATCAATTCACGCCGCTCCTCTTTCTAGCTTCTTCTTCTGTCATTTTTAATAATGAGTGGTTGTTTTATCAATAGGGAAAAGAAAATGCTGACTGGATGTGTGGAAGTTTCTTGCCATGCATCTTATGCTGTTTAATTTTATGTTATGAAAATTTGTATGAATGTGCATACAACCCCGTGGCTAAACAATCGGGGATAACAGTGTATATGTATGAGATAAGAAATACACGTAGCTACACGATAATGCTATATATATATATATATTAATAACGCGGTGATGGATGGGTGCGCCCTTCTAATCTGATATTGTTATGACAATGCTACATCTCAACCTCATTAGCCTCACCCTACCCATCTTGCCATCTCCTTTTTCGCAAAGAAGCAAAGGAGAACCGGGAAAAACTTGTTTGACAATAAATGATGAGTGAACGCGTAAAAAAAAAAACAAAAAAAAAAAACAAAGTGGTGGACCATCCTGTATGCGGAAGAGGCTCCCAGTCTCTCTCTCTCTCTCTCTCTGTTTTTTCTTTTTTTCAAAGAATAAAAGCAGACTCATAAATTCAAAACGAGAATTACAAAGAAGTACTGCTTACAACTTGCAAGCTTCTTTTACATTTATCCGCCTCCCTTAGTCAAGATGAAGGATGGTTAAGATGCAGCTATGATGAGGCATACTTAGGAGGCTCAAGTCTTCAAAAGAAGCTAACCATTTTCTGGGAACGTGATCGACAAACAAAAATGCCCCTTTTCCTGGAAAAAAAGAAGAAGAAAAGAAATGGTGATGGCCTGTCACGGGAAGAAAATCCAACGACCATATATTGCCAATCTAGTAACACAATAATTAAAGGGTAGAAGGGAAGAAGAAGCGTTTGGTGCAGTAGATGGAGGCTGGAGCAGGCATGCATGTTACTTTTGCACTCTTAAGGCTGAATAGACAGCGACCGCTGACTGTCAGCACTCAGCACCATCAATTTTTCTCTGTTGGCCTTGTGTTCTACCAGAGGCCACGCTTTCCCTAATAAATATGGACAACAGATCAGGCCACCCAATGATATTACTCCCCTAAGCAACTGTTCTACATGTGGGCGTTGTGTGCTCCGTTTTGCTTTGTAAAGAATGACGGTGAAGAACTCGAATTGTGATGTCTATAAAGAATATGCCTGCGTGTTATTAATGAATTTAACTTGCCCGGTGATCAACTTCTGTAAAATAAAACCATGTATATATAGCTAGTAAAGTGCTGTACTATCAGCGACGAAGGGGAAGCCCATTACAGCTCAACTGAAAACCACGTGCCATCTTATGGACGTACCTCTCTGCCCCAGCATCCGGCATCCACACACAATTAAATACTTCCTACTTCCTAATCGTAAGACTTTGTTTATAGTCGACAAATGAGATATTATAAATAGGACCGGAGATAATATCAAACAAGCTTGTTTACAAACTTAGGCACTGAACCCTACAGGGGAAACACGACTTTACCCGGAAGGTCCGACTTATTGGGATGTATGTGGATATATTAGTTGTAACTTCAAGTTCAATGTGACCTTTCAACGATAATACAACAGATTATGGTCACCGTAAGAGTTCTTCGGCCCTAAGAAAGGGGTCCCTATCAAAGATGCGTGATCTTGAAAAAGAGCCGAGGCAGAAGCGGGTATAGGCAAGGAAGATTGCAGCATCTTCATGAACAAAAATGCCGATCTAGCTTACTTCATGCAAAGCGAAATAACAGTATGAACAGTGTAAAAAGGAGAGTACCTGCTTTGGATTTTGTACAGATTCTTCGCGAAGGCTTGAACTACAACTCCTCTTCAAGATGCGGGTAAGTGCAAGTCTTCTCTTGTTCATCAATATTCATGGGATTGTCGTACACATCACGGATGGCCCCCCGCGAATCCGAACTTCACTGATAGCTCTAAAAAACTGCTATAATTATTCCAAAGAAAGTTGTTGCTTCGTACTCCTCCGGTTCTAAATGTAAGACCCTTATATACACTTGTATAAATGTCTTATATTTAGGACCGGAAGAGTATTATTTTGAAGTCATTATTCAGTTAATAAAAATTACCGTTAATCATGTTGAAGTCGAATATATTTAATATGCATCATGAATTACACAGGGATCTAGATCTGAAACATCTATTTAATAAGGTACATATTTCAAAATAAGTATAAAACAACATGAAAATGTGATGTAAATCCCAAATACGAAAACTATGAAATACTACCTCTGGTCCTAATTATAAGACCCAGTTGACTTATTTGAGGAGATTAAGGAAGTAAGTTAAGTTAGTTATTTGTAATAAATAAGTGTTGTCATTCCTAAAATATCCTTGCTAATTAAGTATATTGGCTAGAACTATCATTATTAGAAGGATTATCTTGAAAAAAATGCATAAATAGGAGAGACAAAATGGATTGGGGTCTTATAATTAGGACCAAACAAAAAGTCAAACGGGGTCTTATAATAAGGACCGGAGGTAGTATGTAATTTTATTTGTACTTTTATGGTCACCTCTTTATCTATAGAATAAGATCAAATTCTTCTCTGTTGATTTATGAAGCCGGAGCAACAAAAAAAGGGCGGAACAAATTGAGTCCATGATTTTGGAATTTTAAAATATATATATATACACATAGAGAGAGAGAGAGAGAGAGAGAGAGAGTAAATTGAGTCCAGTAAGATCGGTCATTGGTGCCCAATAAGCCCAGACTTTAGGGAGCGTTGTCTGACTTACGTGATGTAATGGGCCAGCTAAGACGCAAACCCAAGAATTCCAAGAGGGAGGGTGAGTTTAAAAGCAAGAAACTTTTTGTACAAATTATGGTATAATTTTTAGACATTTTTATATATTTTTTAAAAAAGATTGTTTTGAAAGTTTATTTTGTACGTTAGAAAAATGGCCCTTACAATCGCAGTCATCTTATTGAAAGTTACTCCTGCTCAATCACTGGAGGTAAAGAACACAGCATTCTAATAACGTTGGACATGAAAGGATATGCTGATGCAGTTCGATTAAAATTAAAGCGTTGTGTTTATGATGAGAAATGCGTGTAGATTAAAACATGATGGGTCATCCGTACGAGTGCCTTGAAAGGCTGTATAGCACTAAATCAGGAAAGGAATATCG